GCCCCGAGCCTAATAGCTCTCTTGATCAAAGTCACTTGGGTCCTTGCTCTGGGTGCAGCATGGCTCCAGGCTCTGCCACCCCCCCGTTTTATGTACAAAGATGACAAAAATGATGTGTCAACAGAACCCCAGGGGATCTGGCATCTTAGCAGAAGCCTTTCTAAGAAGCTGGCTAGCCTCTCAAGAACCCAGTGGCTTGTATTGTTCCTGCTGGAACTCAGCATCAGGCCTGTCATGGCAGGCAAACTCTGCCATTTCCATAAGATACACATCCCAGGGTGTGGGTAGTCCCAGCTGCCATAGGCACGCAGGGCGTAGGAGAGAGGAAATGCCTGGAGGAAGGGATGGAGCACTCAGGTGTGCTGCTCACTGTCGTCCACAGCACACGGTGATTGCTGACCACTCGCTGAGCGCCAGCCACATGGAGACCACTATGAAACTGCTGAAGACCAGGGTGCAGTCCCGCCTGGCCCTTCACAAACAGTTTGCATCCCTGGGTAAGCTGGTGTTAGGACTGTGGCTTAAGAGCCACTTGGACAACAGAGACAAAGATGACTTATCCTTCCCTCAGATTTCTTAAATCCTGATGACACATCAAAGAGGACTTGGTTCCTGGCTCTTGCTGAGCAGAGGTGTTGGCAGGGCCATTGGGGAGAGCTACAAGCCCCTCCAGGCAGAGATCTGAGCTCCCCTCAGGGCCATCAGCGTTGTCCTAGCTCACAAAAGAGGCCCAAAGCCTTCTGGGTGGTCCAAGTTAGTGGACTGGTCAGGAACAGCTTATTCTAGGTTAGCGCATGTCAGCCGTTGGTGTCCATTCTACAGATACTTAGTAGAAGCCCAGTTCATGCTTTGTAGAGCTTACATTTAGCTTATTTGAGTACAGCTGTTCAGGGATCCACCCCCTCATCCCTCCCCTGAGACCTACTGAGCTACCATCCTCCATGGTGAGGATGAACCCCAGTGTTTTTCATAAGTTCCCAGGTGATTCTGATGAGCCATTGACCATGGAGGTGGCCAGTTGGGTGTTTCTCTTCATTCAGTAAATACCTGTCAAGGGTTTACCATGCATAAGGCAATTGTGGGGTAGTGAGAGTTAAGATCTTTCTGATCGAAAATAGTCACTGTCAGGAAAGGCATTGGGTTTCCAGGACCCATCTAGAGACCGTTCCCCTTTGGGGCAGTTCTTGCATTCCACGTGGACCCAGATGTCTCCAGGGCAGCATTGCTGTCGGGCTTGCTCCCCAACAGCATTGCTCAACCTATTTTGTTGGATGATTGTCATCCTGTACAGGGTTTACTGTGTTGGCATATTTGCGGATTGAAGCGCCAGCAAGAATTTGCCCTGGAGCAGTTCTCTAGCTCTTCTCCCTTAGAGAAACCGACACAGAACACTTCAGTCATTTCCTCTGTCAAGGTCAGCTGTGCAAACAGCCCTCTCGGCTATTTGATCTAATTAACAGTCATTGCTGCAGAGGCACTGTCACTGGTTCTGGCTGCCAGGGGGCTTTTGTTTTGCTGGCTCTCATTTGCATTAAAGATAACGCACCGTGAAAGCTGGTGCTAGGTCTGGCCACAAGCACATAGCACCGGGGGAAGGTCAGATTGGTGTGCCTGCATTCCTAGCACGTGTTGACCAGGGCCCCTACGGAATGCCTCCTGTACCTGAGCAGCTGGTAGGGCCATCTGAGCCCTCCAGATACTGGTTACCCAGTGTGGCACCTGATTGCTACCTGTATACTACATATCTTGCTCTCTTTTAGAACATGGCATTGTACCAGTTACCAGTGATTGTCAGTGCCTCTTCCCTGCAAAGGTTGTCTCCCGCCTGGTGAAGTGGGTGACCATTGCCCATGAGGATTACATGGTAAGTGGAGGAGTGACGGGTCACCCTTGCCGTCCCAAAAACCCATATCACCCTTTAGCTCCTGCCCTTCCAGCAGGGGATTTGACCGGAGAGTCCAGTTCACTCCTCTGTGGTGACTTCTAGGAGCTGCATTTCACCAAGGACATTGTGGAGGCGGGACTGGCTGAGGACACCCATCTCTACTACATGGCACTCGTGGAAAGGGGCACAGGTAATTGTTCTTCTGAGCATAGTGGTAGGCAAGGGGAGCTAGTAAGAATAAAACATTCCTGGATGCCTGGGTGGCTCAGTAGGTTAAGCATCTGCCTTTGGCTCAGGTCGTGATCCCAGGCTCCTGGGATCGAGTCCCACATAGGGCTCCTTGCTCAGCGGGGAGCCTGCTTCTCCCTCTCCCTCTGCCTCTCCCTCCGCCTGTGCTCTCTTGCTCTCCTTCTGACAAATAAAACTTTTTTTTTTTT